AAACAATACAACCTATAAATAGCCAAATACATAACCGAAATCATCATGACAATAAGCACTATGTAATGTGCAAATAAACCCTATTAACTATGAAACATAATTGTAATAAAACGGAAATGCAATGGAAACAAACATTATTGACGCTCCTAAATACTATTAATTTTCTCAACAATGCATGCATGTAAGGAATCTGATTGTTCATAATTTGGTTGTATTAGAGTAGGAAAAACTCTCCGACTACGTTGATTTGGCATCCAATTCCTTTAAACTCGTGGCTATCATCCATGAGATCAATTTTGAAGGTTTTTGGCCTTCACTGAAGTCTTGACTGCCATCCATGACTTTTGGCCAAACTCGTGGCTGCCATGCATGAGTTTGGCATTCCCGTGACCCTAAACCACCACCCAAAACCCATATAAATACCCCATCCTCATTTTGCATTCACACTAAATACACAATTTTCCCATATTTTCTCATACTTTCCCTATTCTCCATTCTTCTTTTCTCATATTTTCATTTAATATGTTCCCATTCCCTAACCAAATACCTCCATATTCTCTTCAATATTTTCTCAATCTCCATACTCTTCCACATTCTCCATACACCAAATACCTTTTACTCTTTTCTCATTCTCCATATTTCCTCATTCTCTACTCTTCTACATATTCTCATTCTCTACTCTCCAACATATTCTTATTTTGATTGATGCCCTATCAACACCTCTTTATTATGGCTTCAAGACAAACATATATCCGATCATATATGGAGTGGTGAAGAAGTTACATTTCGTTCTAGATACAACTTCTAACAGTCTCTAACTTTCGAACCAGTGGTGTAAGTTATTTGCAATATTGCTTTCGCCAACATCCTGGATATCGGTGGAATGGAAATTAACAACTATCTCTTAACAACAATGTTTTAGAGATGAAGGTCAGAAACACATACTATCCATTTTCATAATGGAGAGTGCATTATTACTTTAGATATTGCATATCAACTTAGAATTTACATTGATAGGAAATCTGTTAGTGGAGATATCAATATGGATTGGGAGGATCTTTGTCTCTAGTTATTGGGTGTTACCCCAACAAATAGGAAAATAATAGGGTAAATGGTACGACTTACTTGGCTTGAGAACAAGTATCATGAACTTTCAGAAGATGCTATTGAGGATGTAGTTGAACAATGTGCTATAACATTCATTTTGAGAATGATAAGAGGATTTCTCATGCCATATACATTAGGATCCCGATTCCACCTTATATATCTCCATTTGCTCGATTATCTATCAGAGATATTTCAATACAGTTGGGAATCTACTACTTTAGCTTGTCTTTATCGATGACTCTATAGTGTAGCACCAATTAGAGAGAAAAAAGACTAGAATATGTCTATTACTACTTCAGTCATGAGCATACGACCATATCCCGATTCTTGCACCAAGACTATACAACAACACCCTACAATTTTATCATTTGGTGAGAAGGTATATTTTTTTATAAACTAATTTAATTTATATATTAACTTATATGTAATTATATATTCTAAATTAATTTATATATTATAAATTTAATCTATATACTAACTTATATGTCACAATATTTGGTGACCACTAACATTCTTGGACATGCAACCAATGTCATTCATGCAATGTTAAATTGTTTGTGTGTTGATCAATTAAATCTAAATACTATAAATTATCAGTTTTTTAATCCATTTGCTAAATATTATATAAATTATATTATTTTTTTATCAGTTTGTTTGGACCCCTTACAAGATCATGAATATTAGGGGACAAGTCCATGATATTTGTCGAGCATGTGTGGTATTGATTTATTTCGCAAGTGTCGAATGACATGCTACCGATTGAGTTATGAGACAATTTGAGTTACAACAACCAATCCCACAAGATCCACCAAACTTTGATAAACTCCACAAAATGGACTTAAGTGACAACAATGACTATAATTTGGCACATAAAGAATAAGGGTGGATTCAAATGTGAAATAGTCGAGAACTATTCGTGGTCGACGAAATTCTCGATATTGAACCTTTGTATCAATACTCATAGTATATGAGTGATACTTATAAAAGATAATGAAATATATCTCTCTAGACGAAACATATTCTGTTGGAGCAATAATGTTTTTCCTATTAATTAGATTTTTTTATTCCATTCATTTAATTCAATAACTAAATTTATATATTTTTTGGAGTTAAAATTTGTAACGTGGAAAGAATGGTTCTCTTCATACTTATAACAATCTCATACAAACAATCTATGACATCTATTTTGCTTGTAAAGATTTGTTGAAGGCATTGGCATGAGTTAAATTCTACAACTTCCAACATTTTCTAACCTCAAGCTCCTTTTGATCAATATTTAATATGCCTACATATGAGTGTCAACCTCAACATGAAAGTCCAAGTCAAATAGAGGTTCACCCTTAAGCACAAATATCATCACCTCATCTACACCGAGAACAATCCTATGGATCTTTAGGAACATTTCCAACTAACTACCCATTCTCCTATATAGGACAAAGTTCTTAATTTCAAGGATCACTACCACCTAATGTCGGCTTATGGGTCAGAAGAATTTTACTGTCCTACTATGCCGTCACAACCAGAACAAAGCAATATTTATGGTACTAAAGACAGTGATGATGAGGAGGAAGAGGAACAACAAGTTAGAAGATGTGGTAGTGGAAGAACTAGAGAAATCTCTCAACAAGGTCAACAAAAATCAAGAGTTCTTCCACCATGCACAAGAAAGCCACCTTTGTGTGACAATTCATCATATCATAGACGTCAATGATATTAATTACGGATTTTAATATATTACTACAATTGCATCCATGAGATTGGTATACACAAGACTCATGGATTGCATCTGCAATATTGGTTAAATAAGAAAAACAATTAGGACTCGTGTATGGGAGGCACAAATCCGTGTGAGAGAAAAGAATATAATATAGAATCGTGTATGGGAGGCACATGTCTTGTATTGTTTATAAAAACTACACCACTCTCGGAATTTTTCGAAAGTTGTTACGTTTTAGGACAAAGATCACCCGTCTTCAATGATGTCTTATTCCCTATCCCGAACCAATCAGAATGTTACTTTTATTACGATTTATTTTAAATTCTTTTTTATTCATGTGTCAATTTCTGTGTGGTTTGGGACAGAGAGAATGAGACACCGTTGGAAACAGTTAATCTATATATCAAGTTTTAACACTTCTAATATTATGTATATTTATTGTTTGAACCATAAGTATCTCTGAGGAACTCAATCCTATTTGAATTGGATAGGATTGTAATAAGTGGCAAAACTCTCCCTAACATTCTTAAAATTTCAAATTCCATCGTTTCCCAAGGGTTGAAGTTCAAATGAATATGTAACCTAATTTGATGTAGTTATATATATTTTTTCTGACAATGTATGGGTCATTCATTTCCTTGAACTGAAATTACATCTTTAACATTCTTGAATGAGCTGATAAAAGTTAAAGGAATCGGCTTCTATGTTATGGGATTATTAAAATGGAATGGTCAATTGAAATACAAAAATGTGATAGAATGCAATTACAGTAACTTCGATATTCACAATAATGATGCTAAGATTGAGGTTGAATTAAAGACAGTGCTTAATACTGGGTGGTTATAATCTTTGCAAAAATAGAAACGTAGTTACTTACTAACTATATATAGATAAATCGTATCCCTTAAACTTATGTAACAAAATTGATTGAAGCTATAAATTCTTTCTGATTATATATAGTATTAGGAAAATGATATATCATCCTACTAAATCCTCCTATAAATTGTCCTACCCACAAAAAAGTTACATATGTCACAAAATGATACTTTATTTATTAGTGATTGATTTACAAGTGACATATGTCATTTTTTTGCGTAGGAGGATTAATAGGAAGATATAACATTACTCATAGTATTATAACCAAATTAAACATTAATCTTACAAGATAGATATTACAATGTTGTAAATAAGCATGTATAAACATTGTCTATAACAGAGAATAATTAGCAAATCCGATATACATATGATTATTCAGTAAAAATAGGAAACATAATTTGCCTTTAGAAAAATACAAGACCATCAAAATTGATACATCCACTTTCTAAAAATCAGGTATTCAACAACTATTTCGCTGTTCTCATGTGTAGTCCTTTGTCTTAGTGAAATACTAGTTTTGCATATAAATTGAAGCATTTGGTACAACTAGCCTTCATTCTCCTTATCAATATTGCAAAGGACAATTCAGTACACGAAGTTCGGAGAGATAGATATTATCTATCTTATCTTCATTACTAAATAGGATGTTTCTAAGGTTTGAACGTATGACTTTTTTCAATTTTTTAATTTAAAAATGAGTAAAAATTTAATCTCTAAAATATTTGTTTGTACCACGTGTCAGTATTTCTATCCGGTCCTTAACAGAATCTTAACTCCTTTTTTTCTTAACTGGGCTATCAAAAACCTGTTTTATCTGCCACCCATAACATAGCTGCAACGAACAAGGATCATCTCTGTAACGTAGAGATAATAACTTGTTTTTCCTTATATTTTTAATAATAAATGTGTCATTTCAATATATAAAATGATAAAAAAATCTTAATATATTATGTTTTTCTTTTTTCTCTAGTACTTATTTCTCCATTAATGAAGATGATGCAGGGATAATGTGTCATCATTATCTTTGTCACATGGAAATCATTAACTTTTATTGGGAAAGTTAATTTGCTGGATAGAAAATAGAAGAGAATATATATAAACAAAACATAATGCACCACTCAAAAGGAATGGGATCACTCATGGCTTTTACACTCCTTGACCAATTTTCCCTCTCTATTTAAGCACACAATACGTTCTCATTTGAATCACACAAATCTTACAAACAAGATATCAATAATTGTTCTTCATTTGAATCAACCATTTTGCAGTATTTGGTTTTAGAATGCTTACAAGAAAGGGTAGAGAGTGAATTGCAGCCAAGAATGACTTGCCGGAATACATCCAATTTAATATCAACATATGATTACTAGTAATCCGGCAAGTTGTTCTTGGCTACATATATCTCTCTTCTTCTCTTGTCAGCCTCAAAACCCATTTCTCCTCCGATAGAGTTCTTCATGGATGACAAATATATATTATTAAGAAAGGTATAGAGCAATATAAATATATATATAAATATAAATATATATATATATATATATATATATATATATATATATCTTTAGTTTCTTAATCTTTCTGGAGAGTTGGATTATTTTTTCTATGTTTGTTTAAAACCTCGCATAAGATGGTATTCACATTTAAACTGATATTAAACAAAATAGAAAAATGAAGAATAAAAGAATCGAAAATTCAATATATTTGTGGCTGATTTGGATATTTATGTAAGTAACTAATAAACAATGTCTCACATTTAATATATTTATTATATTCTATAATCATATATTTATTTCAAATTATAGTTTGGTTTTGGTATTTTTCCACTTTGATACATTATCTCTATGAAAGACCAATTGGACATATTATTTTTATTTTGATAATTAAAATGTAAATTTAAAACATCAAATTCATATTTTTAAATATTAAAAAATAATTAAAAATAAAAACCCAACCAAACCATCAAGAAATATAATGAGATAAAGAAATTAGGAGTTGATTTTTAGATTTAGTTTTTTAGTTTGTAACTAGGCCTACCAAATTGAATTACCGCTATTTTTTACTTTTCTATCAATGTAATATTTATACACCGTCAGAATAAAGATTTGTACACCGTGGAAATATGTGTCATCATAACTATTATGATCTCTACCAATTTTTATACTTTATAAGCTTAGGTGCAATATATATATATATATATATATATATATATATATATATATATATATATTAATATGTAATACCAAAATTTTAACATTGTATGTATATATTTTTCTATGAATGTAATATTTATACACTGTCAGTATAAAGATTTGTACACTGTTAGTGTATTATTCATCATTCATTTATATTACTTATATTTAAAATATTTAAAATGACGGAGTCTATAGTGATAGTGTAAAAACACTCTTACATTGTAATTGCATACATATTTTTCTATTTTTATATTTCACGTCTATCTTTTACAAAAAAAAAAATTGAACACTATATTAGTAATATCCGTATCTATAACATTTTCCTTTCTCAAAAAAACTATAATATAATACTTGTGGGGCAGCGCCACAATCTTAAAGTAGGTCCTTCATGAATCATGATTGCATGTAGATTATATGAAAATATATAAGAATGAAAAGAAACACATAGCTATAAGATTCCATGGTATGATAGCTACTTGTGGCAAAGTTTGGTTTTAGAAATAGTTTCAAAGGTACATGGCCGTAATTAAGAATAACTAAGGAATATAAATTTGGTCTTTGAAGGAAATTCCCCAGTGGTTGTCAATTTGTTGTTGGCACCCAATATCAGCATGCACATGGTCAAAGATTTGATTGTATTGTGTGATCAACTTATAATTTGCCAAATCATGATATATATTCTCTACAAGAGAAAGATTTATTCTTCTCTATGGTTAAGTGCTTTGACTTATCGAATGTTTATTCTGTCAGCCATGAAATATACACTGATGTTATGAGTATCCCACTAGACTGGATAATTGGACCGATGTGACCATTGACTAGGCTTTGCATAGGCCTGATAAAATTCCAATTCGATTAGGTTAAACTGAGTTAACCTGGAATAATCTGGGAAGTTTAGTGAACGGTTCACTTGTTCAACTTCATTCCATTAGTTATATATAATTATGCATTTCTTTATGGTAAAGTATAAAACAAAACTATATAACCGGTTTAAACAGTTAAGTCATCGGACCGAATGATTTTAAATATAATTAATAATTTTTATCAATAAATATATAATTATATATAAATATAAAATTTTATATAATTAATAATTTTATATAACTATATTGAAGTAATATCTCTTTATCTTTTTTGGACTGAAATAAAACAAAACATTAGAGTAATATTCCATTTTTTTAAAAATTTAAGTGAAACGTCTGTTTTCCCCCGGGTTATTCCAGTTTAACCTGATTTTGCATGGTCGAACAAAAATTTCTCTTATTCAAAGCGGTCTAACTACTCATTTGGTTAAGACTACAATACGAAACTGTTTTCAAGTCCGGTCAGCGATCGAACCGGTTGGAGGAGATAACTTATCTCCTTATACCAGTAGATACATTATTCTCTTTTTAAATTGCTGTTAGTTGCAAAGCTATTTTTTATCGAAAAATTCTAATTTAATAAGCTTCATGTATTACAAGCTTCCAACTATCTTACTAACTCTAAATTGAAGGTTATTAGCCATTGACTCACACCTACTAGCTACAAGTTTACAACTATAAGCTAGAAACTCATAACTATATTTTGTGCTTGTAAATAATGAAATATAAGATAATGAAAATGGACATGGAGACAAGAGATCTCACTTTTTTTATATTTCAATAAGATGTTCAATTTCCCCCCTTGAAAAACATTAATTATTACCATAGACATAGTTATGCTACTTCTAGGTCGAATGGGTAGTCAAGTTAAGCTGATTCAAAACGGTGAATTTGTCGTTTGTATTGAGAGGGTCTTAATAACATTAACCGGTGTCTAAGAGCACTTTTTAATCAACACAATGGGATAAGTTAACATTAGAAAACCAAATAATACATATTTCTGGATATTTTCTAAATACAACATTATTCTTTTGCTACATTCAATAATGACATGAGTACACCCATTAATATTCTCCTTATCTTGCAATTAAAAGCTTTTATGATGATTATATTTATTGTAAATATATACTCATTAAATAAAATAATTTTAGAAAAATCATTATGAATGCTCAATTTTATCCGACATATTTTTAAAATATAAAAAGAATCAATATATGAACATATAAATTTGAAAATAGAAAAAAAGAATAAAAAATAAAATTTGGTTAATTTTGAGATTTTATAGAAGCAAATAATTATTTTTACTTATTTATGATTATTTTAGTCATTTTTTAGGATTTATGGAGTCACAAATATTTTTTTTGTCTAAAAATGGCCTCCTATAACTTTAAAAGATAAAAAAAAATATTTTTACCCTCTAGAGCTTTTCTATGTTTTTTTGTCAAAAAAATAATTTATTATAAAAGTACATTTTAGACGTGCCAAGACTAATTTTAATTTTTTGTTACTATTTGGTATTTGAAAGATAATTAAAGAACTTTTAGTTTACCAGCACTTTTATTTTATTTATTTACTTTAAAATAATAATTAAAACCTATGGGTTATCAATTATTATAGTTCTAATAAAACTTATAACAATTTTAACAATTACAGGATCTATTATAAGTATGAAGGAAAATTAGAATGTATATGAAATCTAAAATAGGACGTGTAATAAAAGAAAAAAAAATATATTGTTCATAAAAGATAGAGAAGAAAGAGAGAAAAGTGAAGATTTTTCTACTCTTAATTTTTCTCGGAGATGAATTCAACACATTATATTTAGAGATAAATATGTTTATATTTTTTGGTCCTATAATTTTAATTAAAATTAAAATTTAATGTGTTATCAATATTTTATTCATCGTCTCTAAATATATACATCTTGATTAAAGTTTACATGATATTAGTGTAAAATCGTCATGCATGAAATTTGGCGTTCCTACATTTGAGCTGGCATTCCGTAACACATTGTCCGTGTAAGATTTGGTGCATCATCCTGCTATCTCCTCTCAATAATGGGATGAGATCCTCCTAACGATTCAATACTGAAATATGAAGATCAAATTAATTTCATTCCTTATAATATTTTCTACTGGGATCCATTTTCCTAGACAACACGAGAAGCATAGTACACAATGTGCCAAGTGGCACTCCAATAGGTATATTTTTATCTTTCTATTTTTTTTAATATATTTCTTATTTATATTATTTATTTTAACTTTAAATAATAATTTTAAATTTATTTATAAAATAAATAAGAATAATTTTTTATATTAATTAAATAATAATAATAATTTATTTTTTATATTAATGAATTTAATGCAATATTTATACTCTAATTATGGTTCACGTCATATATAACTTCTTGTTTAAAGTAAGATAAAAGTCTACTACCAACACCATTAGTGGTGTAAAGTTCTGTTCAATTAAGTTTTTTGATGCAATTAAGTAATCAAACCAAATCCAGAAATATGGTTCAATTTACCTCAATTACCGCAAACTTTATTGTAGGAATCGAACTGTCCATGAATGGTTTGGTTCAATTAACTTTTACGGTTTTAAAAAAAATCACATCAATTGAAACTTCAAAGTGTATTACAAGAAACATTATCTATACAAATAGATAAAGGCAAAACAACTTTTAAATGCCATGAATGGAGTAATTTTGTTATTCCAATTTTACCATTTATTTATGTTAAAGTAACCTCCACATTTTCTAAGTAAAATTGGTCCCTTTATTTATGTTATTCCAATTTTACCCTTTATTTATTTGAATGGTTTGGTTCAATTAACTTTTACAATTTAAAAAAAAATCACATCAATTGAAACTTCAAAGTGTATTACAAGAAACATTATCTATACAAATAGATAAAGGCAAAACAACTTTTAGCTGCCATGAATGAAGTAATTTTGTTATTCCAATTTTACCCTTTATTTATATTAAAAAACCTCCACATTATCTAAGTAAAATTGGTCCCATCTAAATTATCCAATACAATTGTTATTTGTTAATTGTGATAGAGTAACTCGCACCTTATTTCATCATACCCAAATCTCAAACTCAAAATGCACTGGTTACTTCTCTATTACCCAATTTTATTTTTATTTCATTGTCTTTTCTAAGTTCTTCTTCTCACTGGTCGCACCTTAGATCACTTTGGTTGGCTTCATCTCTATGATGTTATTGTTATTATTCAGACCCTCTTCCTGACATCAATTGAAGTTTTCATCACCATCACATTTCCATTCAAATTTGTAAATTAAACTTCCCTTTTTGAGTTCCACTTCAATAGTAAAGCATGTCATATT